CTGTCAGACCATTTGCTTTCATGCCGAGTTAATGTGGCTGAGGTTAAAGTTCACTGTATAATCCAGGAATTCTGGAGGCGATATTGGCAGATCACTTGTTGGAAAGGATCATTTAGTGGAGGGCCAACTTCGATTTTAAAAGTAGCATGACTGGGGGAGAAAATCAAGTGAATATACATGTGCTTGTTTTGTTAACAATCCTTGCGTTTCATATTTCGTGGCAGGAGGACATCTCAAAGCGCTTCACGTGGCAGGAGGACATCTCAAAGCGCTTCACAGTCTATACTATAAAGTGCAGTGACTGTGTAATTTGTCAACTTGACATTTATACAGACATTTTCAAGAATTGAATGCACATATGTGAAAATACTGTCTGCATTCTGATTCTTTATATAACTTCATCTTTGACAGCAATAGAAATTGTGGGTTGAATAGTTGTCGGGTTAAGCTGTTCATGGGTGGGAGTGATTTACTGAATGTTTACCTTTCGTGGCTCTAGTTCATGCCAAAACAACAGGAGGTTTAATATCTAATACAGTGATCCCTGTGATTTGACCATAAGCATATGAGCGCTCTCTGGTTAAATTTTCCTGGCTAAAGTTTTGTGTTTCTTTGAATTACTGTTGGATAATTCCCCACCTAAATATATTTGAAAACTGTAAAAGAGTAGACTGTGTGGTTTAAAATGTTAGTGATCGTTGTTTGCTTAATCACTGATGAATTTTTCATGTAAAGGATTACGATAGGAAACAACATAAAGTATTTCTGATTAGCTGAATGCTTGCCATTTCTTGATGGAAAATAAATGTCACCTTTATCTGCTTCAGATATTTGACTGTGTAATCCACAAACCTCTGTCTTGTGTGTTGGAGTGATCTTTCCCCACAGTTGTCGAATACTATGGTGCTTTGTGTACTGTATCTAGGAGACCAGTGGATACCAATACTGCTCTGATCTCCGTGTTTGTCTAGCTGCTTATCACAAATCACATTTTACGGTTTGCTTTCTGCAAGATGGTCCTTTCACCTTTTGTGGCTGAGATAATTTCCACTCTGAACATTCAGCATTCCCGGAGCAACCAGATCCAAACATTGTCGTGCTTTGAAAATGGTCTCGTGTTTGGAATTGTAACAACTACATGACAGATAATTGGGTCAGGTCTTTAAATCGAATCTTGTGAGATTTAGCGAACAATAGGAAGTGTTATTCTGCACAATGTATTTAATATTGCAAGGGCCAAGTGCAGATGTGATCTGTAGCAACTCACCATTTTCTGCGAAGCATTTTGACACAATCTACAAGCGTGAAAGGGACTATATCAAATGTTATTATTCTGAGAGTATATGATTTCCCGTCTCTGCAATGATTTTATGTGAGACTTGTTTCATGCCGTTTCTCGTACGGAGAGAGCTTTAGATTTCTGGTGTAAATATCTACTCTTATTGGAGGCCATCACTCCAAACTAAACATCTGTTTATCTTCTCTAAGAAGTGCCACAACTGGAGCATACAAGTTTGGAACTGTAGTGTAGGAGAATATTCAACACTTGCTCATGCAGGAGCAGCATTTCAGTGAGTCATTCAATCCAGTGTGACTCGAGGGTGTATCCTTGGTAGAATTGTTTGAGTAACCACATAGCATTTTTGCACGTATTACACAAATGTAGATGTTTCCACTGTAAACTATGCACTAGATGATGAGCTCATATGAGACAGACCCTGAAATTGTCAGGTTGTCAAAGCAGGAATCGTTTCTGCATATATCAATGAGAGTGAGATAGTCGAGAATAAATGGAACAATTGAGGAGTTTAACTGGGTTATGATTCCAATGTTATTTCTGAAGTAACCACTTCATTGCTTTAGTTTTGGTGCAGAAGTTGTGATAATGAACCAGTGAAAAAAAATGATGTACTGATACGTAAGACATGATGAGGCACTATATCAAATGCAAGGATTATTATTATTATTTTAGTAGCAGCAAAGTGGAAAATCTAGAGAGTTTATGTCGTGTTTGTGTTGTGTTTACTGAATATCTAATAAACCAAGAGAAGGTTTTAGTGATTCAGAGTGATCTGAGTAGGGAATTTTGGAAGAAATCAAATTATCTTTACTAAGATCACCTTTGTTTTGTTACCATAGCAGGGAGCAGGTGAGGTTGGACTAGTTTCTATGGGAACTTTTTGAGTAGTGGAGGGGGAAATCTGATCAAAATACTATAATAACAACAACTTGCATTTATATAGCGCTCTCCATGCCGGGGGGCGTCTCAGAGCGCTTAACAATTGCGGAGCCAGAGGCCGAGCCAGGGGAGGGGGTTGAAGGCACGGCCGCCGATGATGGATCGGAGGATTCGGGGGACACAGAGGAGGCCAGACCCAGTAGAACGGAGGCAGAGGGATGTTGAGGTGAAATTGCAGAGTTGGTAGCTATGATGGAGTGTTGGGAGTTTTTATTGAGAATAAACAAATCAAATTATTCTTAGTGTGTGATATGAGAAGACGTTAACTTATGTTCAACTTATTGTTTCAACTTCTTGTTCTTTCTCGCTTTTGCACAAGAATGATTTAACTGGTCTTGTGCCATCCTGTAATTGGACTAACACAAAACTTGAGATCATCTCTCTTGGTTTTGGTTCATAGAATTGACCCTTTTGTTGCCGTTTTGCTTCACTACTTGCTGGATTATCACTGGCAAACTTCAATGCAGATAAGTGCAAAGTGCTGCATAGAGAAGGTAAAAATAAGAGGCATATAATATTAATCCTTGCATTGAGAATATATTGCACATGCCTTATCACGTCTTTGAGAATATAGTGTATCATGTTGATGGAGTAATACTTGTCAAAGAGAAGTTGAAGGATGTTCATGGGATGTTCACGTAATGGGAGGTAACAATAAACAAGATGAAGTGGTGGGACATTGAGATGGTGGGATCACAGCAGTGTCAAAACTGAGGTTTAAGCATCAGACTGACATCAATCTTGTTTCCTGTGTTTTTCAATGTAGTGTTAGAAAAGACTCTCGAGCTTCATTGATTAAAACACATATGTTTAATATCTAACCCAGATTTGACCCTTTGGTGTTTGGACTGCACCAGTTTATAATGCAGCATTCAACTGATTTTCAGACTCTCAAGACCATCTACATTAAAGGGATTCAGAATTTGCCTGAACTATAAGATACTCAAGTCCCTGTTTCTTTTTTATATGTAAGGAAGCCTTAAAACACTCTCTGGTTCTATTACCTGTATATTTGCCTTTAACTGAGGTAGTTGTGAGCCAAGAAACTTTACCTGCATTGCTGAAATTCGATGAGTTTAAGATGAAACTATAATTTTTGTATGAATGTTTATAAATACAGAAATTCAATATATAGTTGTTTAACCTGTGGTGATAAAAATCAAAGAGAGAGAATGTATTGCATGAGCTAAATAGCCATCCACATCTTTGCCACTTGTTCAGAATGCTTTGATGCGTGAACGGAATTTGCGTGTACCGGTATTTATTTAATGGTGGCACATTTTATAGCGTGTGAGATTGCTCTTGGCAATCTTGCTCGTTTCGTTTCATTGACTGCCATAGCTGATTACATTTTCCGAGGGTATTTTGAAGCAAATAAAGATTATTTACTGGTGAATGAATGGGTGAACCATGAGATTCTCTGTTGCATAGATATTTAGGGAACATCCAGAAATGTTGATATCCATGCTTCTAGTTGCCTGAGTAGGATTTCAGTTGCTGTTCAGAATCTTCATTGCAAATGGTTATCATCAATATCGAGCATTACTGTCTTGGGATGGCCTTCCGATGTGAAAGGTGCTACATAAATGCGAGTTGTTGTTGTCTAATTGGCATCAACCTACTAACATTTCACATTTCCAGTGTGGAATTGCTGAGATTGTATTTCTGCCCGTGCATTCAGATATCAAGATAATTGATGTACTGTGTTTGACACTCTGGGAGGATTTTTTACTTGGGTCTCCTGCTAGCTGCTGGAAGGGAGGACTTTTGCACAGAGATTTGACGCTGAATTTGCTGCTGGTGAACAGCTGGTGTTTGAATAATGAAGCATGCAATTATCCATTGCTTTCCAACCGTTTCGAGGGTACCTCAACCTTCACACTAAGTGGAATTCAGTAAAAGCCAAAGTGGCATAAAAGTAGCCTTTTGTCTAGTGAATTTTATGTTTCTCATGGAGCTTTTACCTCCTTTTCGAAACTGAATTCAGCATTAAGTAAGCTTGAGCTGTGTGTGATGTACAGTGGAAACTCAGTATGCCACAATAATGTTGAAGATCGTTGGTGGGTTCACATACAGGATCTGATTACATTGTAACTCTGCTTCCCAGCGTTTTAAAGTAAAACATCTTTACCACGTCTGAACAGAGTTTTCAAAGCCCCTGAATCGTTGTAAGATGATGGGAATCTTTAATGCGTCTAATCTAAAAGATATAGTGAGCACTTCCTGTGAATGGGGGAGCCTCTCTCTGCTGTCCCCATAGCACATGTGCTCTCTTTCTCTGTCTGTGCGTGTGTCTCTCTCTCTCTCTCTGCAAGAGTCAACTAATACCGATTCTTACCTGTTCAAGTTTCTCTCCAGTGCTAAATTTTAACTGAAGAAAAGTGTCAGAGCACATGTAGAACAAACCATTCAAGCTTGTCCAAAGTTCACTTTTGAGTTGGTAAAAGCATCAGAGAGAATCACGAGATATTAAAAACCAGAACAGAATATAAGAGACATTTAACTGACTTTATTTGTGGATAATCATGATGCTATAGTAAACATTTTGGCTTCTCCAGAACTGAAACAGTTTGTCATGTATACAAGGAACTGGTATCCCTGAGCACTCCTTTGTTTCCATTAAATATTGTACAATGTCTTTGTTTACTGTCAGTAAATGTACTTAAGGCAATGTTATCTGAAAATTCTTTCTGATTTGACTATGTAAACATCAGTGAACGTCTCTGATAGTGCACTCATTTTTAATATTTTTCCTTTAAAGGCATTGGAAAAGTAAAACGGAAACCGAGTATTCGGGACACTGCATCAAATCCAGATGTTGACTGTTATGCTGATAATGGAGAACGTCTGTACGACCTCAGTATGCCTGCGTTTGTGAAGTTCAGCTACACAGCAGAGAGGGATGATGAGCTCTCGTTGGTGAAGGGGACAAAGGTTATTGTCATGGAGAAATGCAGTGACGGATGGTGGCGAGGTAGCTACGATGGACAAACTGGATGGTTCCCTTCGAATTACGTCATGGAGGAATCCGAGGGCTCCACTATAGAACCTGTGAGCTCTCTAACGGAAAGACTCGCGGCTGTTGTGAACAATGTGCACAGTGCCAAAGTACTGCATGTTGTCCAAGCCCTATACCCATTCAGTTCTACGAATGAAGAGGAGCTTAATTTTGAGAAGGGCGAAGTGATGGAAGTTGTTGAGAAACCAGAAAATGATCCCGAATGGTGGAAATGTAGGAAAGCTGACGGGCAAGTGGGTCTGGTGCCTAAGAACTACGTGAACATTGTGCAGACTTCACCACCAGTCATTAGTGTTGGACCAACACCACCTCAATGTGATTACATAGGAGCAGCAACCACTGGCAGATTTGCTGGCAGTCCATGGTACTACGGAAAGATTACAAGGCATCAAGGCGAAATGGCTCTAAATGAAAGGGGAGTTGACGGAGACTTCATTATTCGTGACAGCGAGTCTTCAGTAAGTAGTACTGAATTTTGACACAGTCCTCTTCATTGTCCTCGCTTTGTTTCCTAGTCTGAAACTTCCTAAGGCCATGCTTATTTTCTGGCAGCTGAAGTAAAGCAGGAGATTTTGCAGTTGCAATATGCTCCGGTGCGAATCTTTTGTTTTATTACGAAGCCCAGGGCAAAATATTTCAGTGACTAAAGGTTTTGTTTTGACTTGATTTGGAGAACCGCAATTCACGATTGTATTGCAAACTTGCTGCAATTTCACAATCAATATATAAACTTGGTGCGTTGGTGCATAAGCAGCTTATAGTCATCATTATGCAAGACTTGTGTGCCATCTTTATATTTTTTTTACTCCTGCGCACTTTTTCATAATTGAAATGCCAAGCAGTTGGTTTATCATTCTTGATGTATAATAATAATCCTTGCATTTGATATAGCACCTTATCAAGTTTTTGAGATGTTTCAAAGCACTTCACAGAATATTCTGTAAAGTGACTGTATTTTGTGGGCGAAAGGCAGCAACCAATTGCACACAGCAGTGTCCCACAAACATTTGTAGATTCAGTGACCAAATTATTTTAATTTTTAAGGAATTATTAAGCCTGGAAAAGCGACCGGCCAATCGACTAACAACCGGGTCATGACTTACTGCTAGGTAAACCGAGGCATGCGTGTGGAGTAAGGAAACTTGCCCAACGTTTCGCCCTGCCGGGAATCAAACCCAGGTCTCTTGCTTGCGAGGCGAGTGCTCCAACCACTGAGCTACATGATTTTATATGTAGTTGTAGCAGTTTCACATGCATCAGTTGTAATTCTGCACAGTGCAGTTATCTTACAACTCGGAACCCAGCTGGGAAAGTTAGTCCTGCTGAGTTTTCACAGAGGGGAACACTTCAAAGCAGAGAACAAGTAACTCAAGGTGCTGAGTGGGTTATGTGATGTGACCAAGGTTTGATGCACGCAACAGGGTTTCACATCTCAGCCTGTGCTCGAGGGGACTGTAGACCAAAGTACAACCAATCACTTAATCCTTCATTGGTTGAGAATGCTGTGGTATTTTTGATGACCAGCGCTGAAGTGCAATAGAGCACAATGAGCTTTTGCTGTAACCACAGTAAAGCTACGGCTGATGTATTTTCATAATTTAAAATTCTGCATTGTGCTGCTCTTATCTACCATGGCATCTGCGTGTCTCTTTTTTAAGCGGGTGTTTCAGAAAATTCTAAACTAGCCATTGCACTTTAGTAATCGGATTCTAAACCACACTCCATCTGCAATTTTTTGGAGAATTCATCACTCAGAATTGCCCATAATCCTCCACTATTTCACACCCATTTGACCCAGTTGCACTCAAGATATGGAGAAGGGTAGAGTGGAAATATTCCAATGAGGTCAAATGTTAGGAATTAAGGCTGAATCCTCAAACGAAACAAAAGCACCAAATACTCAGTTCAGCAACTCGATTCTGTTTAAGACGCAAAGTTCCCTAATCACTTTATATCTATATTTTGTTTTGCAGCCGAATGATTTTTCAGTGTCTCTAAAAGCTCAAGGTAAAAACAAGCATTTCAAGGTTCAGTTGAAACAAGGGCTCTACTGTATTGGACAACGCAAGTTTGACAGCATGGAAGACTTAGTGGAACATTACAAAAAGGCACCCATCTTCACCAGCGAACAGGGAGATAAATTGTTTCTGGTTAAACCTTTATCTTAATTGGGAGGGGAATTGGAAGAAGAGATTCACCAAAATGGATTGTTCAGGCAAAAAAAAAACTATGGCGATGAGGAAAATTATTGTGATTTCATCAGACTCGTTGGGATTAACCCTTTTTTTTCCAAAAAAAAGTTATATCCAGATTTAATTTTCCACTTGTGTTACTACATTTGTGTCCTACTTGTATAGTAAAGTACCTTATTCACTTTTACTGGCTCCTTCATGTGCGTAAAGATTTTGTGCCTTGCTTCAGTTGAGCTGCTCATTGTGAACACTGCCAACAGTTATTCTTCCCCCCCCCACCATCATCAGCTACTTCCTTACTCTTCTGCAATAATATACAATCCTTTTATACCTACTTTATGTACTGAATATAAATATATATATATATATGGCTGTAGCCTACTCGTCCTCACTACGGATGCTCTTTATGCTGCTGTGTGTATGTAATGAAACCGATTGGTTTGAATACAGAGTTGGTATCTCCAGAAAACTCTATGGACTTTGAAACCTTCATGTGGACTAGCTTGCAACGTCTTGTGAGATGTACATTTTTGCATAGTCTATATGTGGACGCATTAGTTTCCTCTCGATTTGTTGGATCATTCCCGAGTAATGTTGGACGATGCGGTTTAATTCGGGCAGTTTTTTCGGGGGGGAGGGAATAAGTATAAATTGCATCAGGATTTCTGTTCCAGTGTGACGATAATGTGGCCAATATAAAATTTTGCCTTAAAACCCTTTCAAACCAAATGCTGTGTATAATTACTGTAACATTTGATATGTAAGTTACAGTGTAATCACATTTTGGTAGGTCCTGCATTGAGTTCTGTTTTTAGTAAATGTTCAAAATGGCTTTTTGGATGTAATTCTTAATTGCTAAATTATGGTTACTTGATGAATTACAACAGATCTGTGTTTTTGAGTCTCTTCTGCCTTGGGTCTTCCACAGACTTCTCCTAATCAAAGCTGTTTGTTCGTGCTGGGGTACATATGCTGTTCTTACAATACAGCATAAAGAATATCATTTTGATAGATATTCAATAGTCACTGATTATATCAGAAAGAGTTTTCCTGTTTTTCATGAAGTTTAAAACCTTGGTTCAAACCATTGAATTGGCATCCACGCCACACCTGCATACATAATATTGTGTGGGTTCATTGCCGGCTCGGTTGTGCACCTATTCTTCGCAGCCAAATATTTTTTTTTGTAGGAGGAGAGAGAATTAAGGAAAGAAGTAGTCAGTTCCTCAGATATGAATGTGATGACACACGGTTGCACATCAGTTCCTATCACCATTGAAAAAGTTGTGTCCGGGTTTCACAATTTTGAATGAATTATTTATCTCTTAATTTATACTTAAACCCCTCCTGTGGTTATCAATTTCACTCCGAGAGTAAAATGTGTGTTTTGTTTTGAAATGTCAATGGAATTCTATGGGAGTTTCACGGAGAATAAATAACCTTGTATTTTGTCTTGTGCAGCTTTAAGCCTTGAGATCAGAAGTCAACATTTTGGGATGAAAACTACATGTGCTGAGATTGACTTCCTGTGGTTGTGTAATATAGAGGATGTGATGAGATCTGTAATGAGCAGTGTTTAACAGGGGTCAGAAGGGTACATAAAGACATGCATTTTAGGCGCCCAGAAGTTTCTGACCCCTAGTCTAGTGATTAATATTGTTGTAAACGTATAGAAAATGTGAGCATAAAGTGATGTTTCGGAAGCCTCTACTCAAGGCCTTTCATGTATTTGTTTCTAATACAATTTAATTTCGTTACTAAAATTGTTTTACCATATTATCCCTTTTCCAATTGTCAAAAATAACCATTTAAAGAATATGAAATACTGTGAAAGCTATTCCTTTCTTTTGCTGTCCCTGATACGGCAAATGTCCTCCAAGCTTTTAGAAACTTACATTTCTCAGTCTGTTGTCTTGAATTTTTGCAAAAACCTAATAAAATTTGTAAATCATCATTTCTGATTTTTTTTACTTCATTTGGTAGCGTCTCATACCATTCGCCTTTGTTTAAACGCAACTTGAAAAGCAGAGCAATGCAGGCAAAAGCTACAGCCTGTAATTGTTGATGTGATTCGAATTCTGAATGAAAATTCAGTAAATTCTGTCTTTCCGTTTTGAAGTGTTTGTTCACTCGAAACAAAAGTTCTTCAAAAATAAAATAAAGGAATCCAAATTTTATGATGCCTTATCACACAGTAGGTCTCAATGTTCTTCAAGGGATTGCTATTAATTGTCCTGACTGTTTAGTACGCAAAACAGGGTACCCTTTTACACCAGTAAAATCCCATAAAAACAGCATATTACTTGAGAAAAAGCAAATGTTACTGGGTCCTTGCATTAACTGAGCAATAGTCTTTCCATCTCCGCTTTCTTGCCTTCCTCCATAGATAACCTCGCCCCAGCAAAGAGCACAGGACCTGTTGCATCTTGTGGAATGCTTGATCATCACATTCCATACCTGTATCACTGCCTTGGGACGTCCTCCCGACATGAAAGGCGCTGTACAAATGTGATTTGTTGTTGTTGTTATATCTATTATTCAATGTGTTGAGTTATAAATTGATTTTAACACTGCAGTTGGTATTGAAATAACATTTTTGACTTATTTGACACAATGACACAATCCATGTTGTACTTGTGCCATTTTTGCGAATGCTGAGAACTAATCATGTGGATTTGTACTATTGACTTCTGGTTGGAGGGGTTTAAAGATCGAGTTCCATAATCCTAAGTATGCATCTATAGTGCTCTCATTACCTCCTACAAAATTCCAGCGTATAGTTTAACCAAGTATCTAGTTCTATCTTTACGAATTTGATGGAAAATCTGTTTACTTAGAGATGCTGAACTCCTGGTCATTCAGTTAATAAATTTCCAATACTATTTCAATCTGCCTGTCTGGTTGTTGAAATTACCTTACGCAAGGTAATTTCAACAAGCAGATAAAATTAGTTTGTTTGTGGAGGCTCTCACATGCAAATTGACTGCCATCTTTGTGACAAAAATGTACAGTCATTCCAAATTTACAGTAAATCTTCTGAGGCTCTTTGAGACGCCCTGTCAATATGTAAAGCGAGATTGAGATTTAATTTGCTTGAGGGTTCCGTGTAATAGCTTAAAATCCTGTAATTGAAATCTACAGCCCCTGAATTACTGCAACATTGTGAAATACAGTCACTAGTGTTTCAAAGCAGCTTCCTCAATGTGCTGATGTAGTGTTCTACACTTCAGGTGTTTATGCTGTACAATGCTGATTGCTACACTGATGGTCAAAGTGCAGTGTAATTACACCATTAGTGATCTTTCTTTTCATGATGAAAGAACCTTGTGTATGCTCATGGTGCCTAAGTAAACAGGAACCGAAAGCACGAAGGCAATGAGAAACCTTTTATCCTCTTGTCCCTTAATTTACTATTCCAAATTGGGCTCATTAGAGATTAATTTCCCCCAGTGTTTTGTCTTGCCACTTAGAATGCCTTTAAAGGATAGGGGTGGTGCTGCAGATTCTACATACTTGCAACCTATATATTGACGAGCTCAAAAATGTTTTATCTATGATTACAGTGTTAATAATGTTTAAGAGTATGGCCAATATACTTTGCAATAAACAAAGCGCAAGTTGTCAACATTAAGGGTGATGCAAATGACTTTAAAGTGTTACTTTACATAGGTACAATTACCAAACAATGCCAATCTTTGAAGGCAGCTATTTAATTCCACAATTAAGATGGAGAATAGCTTATATTAGCTCAGAATAGGGGCATTGTGCTGTTTGTCTCAATCGAAACTGTTCTGGAGACCAAACAATTACAAATTAGAAAGCCTCCCTCTCTCCCTTAAGCTCTTACTCCATTTCTTGCCTGAGCATGAATGCACAATGTAGAACTGACCATAATTCAGGAATAATTGATGGTGTCAGAAAAGCCAGGTGGTTGAGCTGGTGTGGGGAATGGAAATGTCATTAGTTTTAACAAGAGGACGCACTTTGAAGTTAGGCCACACTGTTGGCGGTAATGTAGAGAGTTTTGCCCTGTAATCAGGCTTTATAATAGACCTGATCTGGAATTGCTTGTTGCTGATGTATGGTGCCCAGCCGGGCACAAAATTCTCCCCCGAGAAAAAGCTTGTGAGCTTTATCATTCCAATTTAGGAAGTCTGAATGTATAAGGAAGGACGTGCTGAGATGTCAGAGAAAGGTTTGGGAAACGGGCAAGAGTTCAGCAGCAGCAAGATATTAAGAGTCGCAACTATCTGATTCAGCCTTCCTTTTTAACAACATTTTGTAATCATTTGGATGAAATGCAGCCACATTACTCATAATTGATGATCAATGAAGCATTTGAATTTAGCAGCTGTCAGATCCGTTTAAACGATCTGTTACTTCTGCCACAAGAGAAAAACTTCCAGCATCTTACACAGACACGTCTTCGCCAGCATTTGTATAGTAGGTCTCCTGAACGTCTCTTTGAACGTTTATTTCTCAAATTTAAGGACATCGTCACTGGTTCTTGAGCTGTGCTTTGAAAGAAAATCCATTGCAACTAACCTAGGGTGCAATTGGCCAATGCGAGTGGAATGCAATTGCTTTAAATACCTTAAATTAACATTGTTTGACAACTGCCTGAGGAACATTATAATAAGAACCTAAAAAAGGAGGGTAAGGTAATTTGTTCCATTATTTTGCTCCCTCCAAAGAACATGCAGAACCCACTCATTGTCAACATGGCATCCAGAGTGTAGCCAAGTGGGTCTATGCATTGTCATTACCCAGCTTTACTCGGAGATTTAAATAATTTTTTTTCTTATTACTATGCTGCATTTCAATACAATTGCCTAATGTAATTTTACTTCAATAACCTCCTTAAAAAGTCTCACATGTGGAACTTTGTCAAATACCCTCTTCAAATCAAAGTAAATTATATCCCTCTAATAATAATAATAATTCTTGCATTTGATATGGCGCCGTATCATGTCTTCGAGACGTCTCAAAATTCTCATTTACCAAGAGAAAACCTTATCAAGTTGTCTAACAATCTCCTGAGCGGTTCTCAGGATTTTACTGTAAAGCGTGATGACTGTCAAATAGAACTCGACAGGAGAATTGTATGCAACAGTGACCCACAAACACAGCCATGAAGTGAATGACCGGATGAGTTGTGATGGTGAACTGTGTGTCATACATGGAGGA